ATATATCGGGATATATCGTATCGTGACCCCTCTGTCATGATATGTATCATATCGCCAAATTCTTGCCAATACACAGCCTTATTAATCAGAAGCAGCAGCAGCCTCCTACCTTTCTGGGTGGGGAGGACGTGAAAATTGAAGGTTTTCCTCACTGCGTCGATTTCATTTGCTCCAATCTGTGACGGAAGAAAACATTAAGCAATAAAATTCAGTTTTTGATCTTGAAAATTATAAACTGATTCATTCATTTGAGCCTCTCAGTCCAACATAAATGCTACACTGTTATATTTAAAGACATTAAAACACTTGGAGCTGCCTTTTGGCGGGAAAAAGGGTCGAAGGTACCTCACAAGAGTAGGTGACTCCTTCTCGAAGGCCAGTCAGCTGAAGGCAGTGATGAGTTTTGTTTACGGAGAGATCCTGAGGAAAATCAAAATAACAAATAATAAATTCACATAAAACAACTGTTTTATTCTCTAGGATCAGAAAGAATGCACAGAAATACGCAAAAGTGTTAAATTAGAAGGGTTTTCTTTAGGCAGAATGCAGGTTTCCTGTTGTTGGTTTATAGGTCATGTTTTTGCAAACCTCCAGGCTCAGACCTTTTGAAACGGCACTAAAATAAACCCACTCACAGGTTCTACGTCGGTGTACTTCTTCATGCCGCTGGCGTAACACAGACAGAAGTAGCTCCTGATGCCCAGGCTGGGTGGAGCCAAGTTAAAGGTCACCGTGATGACCGACCCTTCCTGCTGGACCTCAACGTGTTTCGGGTACCAGTCTGCAGACCACACGATGAGAAATTCATGAGATCGCACCCACAGGAGGACAGATGAAGAGTTTGTCTCACCTTGTTTGCACTGATCAAGACCGTTCTTCTCTGCACAAGCTGTAGATAAATAAGGATGTTTTTGACTTTTAAAGGAAAAACCAAAGGCAACACACCAAAAACATAAAAGAATGATTTAAGATTTTAAACTAGAAGGGTCACACATTGCTGATAGCTCTTACAGCGAGTAGAGAAGAACTTGGTCTGATAAAACTTCTCCCATTGCTCCGGAACTGGCAGAGCCATGACCGTTACAGCGTACTGGGATCCCAGGGAGAGGCCGGTGAACGGGTCAGACTTGTACAACTGTGAAAGATGAAAGACGTGGATTTATTTCCAAAGTAAAGCAAAGATTAAGTCTTTACAGCATCGTCTCAGCACTGCACCATTTAGAACAGGGGTCTCCAACCGGTAGCTCGTGAGCTTGTTTAAAGTAGCTCTTCAGTGCTTGTGAAAAATTAGAAGAAGCAAAATTTTATTTGTCAAACAAGCTTTCATTTAATTTCAGTCAATCTGATGTCCCTTCTCCTTGGTTGTCAATCAAACAGTTCATGCTCAGTGTGGTCGATCGGCAGACGACACGCGGTTACGTGGTTGTTTGGCGTTCATTTTCGCGCACACCTTTCATAACCCCTTGAGACACACTGTGCCAAGCTCCTGGGGAGCCCCTCCCGCTGCGGTATATGTCACTAAAGGGGGTTTCTTCCCGCTGGATTCTACAATGCGGAAAAAAAAAATCGGAGACCCGTCGCCCGATGTTATTTGTGCACAAATCTGTTGCAGTTAAACCCTAAGTTAGTGTGAAATACACTACAATATGAGTGGATAAACACAAAAAGCACATTCATGTTAATTCAGTGTTCTTTGTGGTGGTTTCATATGAATTGAAGTCAATGGGCCTCATGCAAGAACCGTTGGTACGCACAGATTTGTTCTTAAGTTGTGCGTACGAGTGATTTAGGAGAATTTGTGGCATTCACCAATGTTTTCATATTCTACGATTTTTTTCAGATACGAATAAAATTCAAGAGTGGTCCAGACCTGTCGTATWTTTTACCAGCAGTCAGTCTGCTGTTATCCAGACGGGTTTTCTTCACTAATAACTTTATATTTCATTAGTTTGAAGATATTTTGAGTTGAAAATAAATCACACTCCATAATTATGTTGACAGTAGGTTATTCTGTTTGAACTGAAATTAGATTTTAATGACATAAATTGATTAGATTAAGATACATTGTCTTTTAATGCTGTTGTATAAAACACTACAATATTAATATGAAGATCACAAACTAAAAAAACAACTTCAACTATGCATTAATTGAAGTTTGGAGATGTTTTAAAATGCGTCTTTTCAGAACCGCATCTGTCACTTGCTACAGCCGGGAGGGGGGGTAACGGTGTGCGACTGCCCTTCTTCTGAATAAATGTAAACACAGTTGTTTACACTTAAACAAAAAATATTTGACCAAAGAAAAACCGGAGCAGGACTAGAGATTGATGAATATGATTTAGATTTTTATTTCTGTGACTGAAACGACCCACAGGAGACACAACATTAACAGCACATTTCCTTCCTTTAAGCAGCTCCTTTAATTCCACAGCTGACGCTGCTAAAGAGAACAGATTTTCTTTTCTCGATCTCGGAGAGCAGGACTACAATCTCCGAACTCGTAAAGTTCTTATTTTTTTTTACTTTGCGATGTCATTGATGAATGGACACATCCTGGTATGTGGAGCAGGAAACTTATATCCTTATATGGTGTTTTTGGGGTGGTAATTATGTAAACAACTTCTCCGCGTGCACGAGCAGCTGGATACGAAAAGGTGTAATTCATCATGTTTACGCAGCTCATTTACACACTTTTCCTGAAGATAGAAGAGTTTATTGAATCTGACGTGACATGTTCGTACGAACCCTTCATACGAACAAAAGTAAGAGAAATTTAGGATAAGAATACGAACATGTTTTTGCATGAGGCACAATGTTTTTTGTGCAAAACAAGCTTATTCCAATGGTTTAAGTTTAAAATTAAATGTCGCAAAAAGTAGCTCTTAAAGAAAAGAAGGTTGGAGACCCCTGATTTAGAATAATGAGAGCCTCAACGAAGGAGCACAGGTGAAGAAGTAAAAACCCAGTTTTCGTACCGTTTGAGTGTCTGATGGTGAGAGGGAAACGTTCCGGTGAAAGAGGAACAGCTGACAGGAGAAAGTGAAGCTTCCCAAAGCCTGAACCGAAACCTGAAAGCCTCTCAGGAAGGTGATCCCTGTGGCGAAACAACAAAGTTTATTTTAGTGCCTGTTGTTTTAAAACGCTGTCACACACCCGCGACTTCTTTTAACTTCTTTATAATCAGTTTACCGCTTTCTGAACCCTCTCATTTTGAGTTAAACCAGATATAATATGCAGCTTTAACATCTGTTTTCATAAATTATTTTATTGTGTAACTACGTATTTGGACATGCATGTCCTTTTGTATGCATGTTGCAGCACCCTCTGCACCCCTAATTTTCACATGATTACACTTAAGTCTGATTAGACAACATTTTTCAGGTCTTAAAAAAGATTCAGTTTGATTGTTTGATTCAGTTTCAACGTCTCAAGTTTCAGAAGGTCCAGATGTTTTCTTTGATAACAAATTGAACAAGTTAAAGTCGTCAAACTTCTGGGAGTTATTATAAACAATATTACAGTCTACACATATGGCAATAATTCAGTGTAATGCCCATTTTATGTCATTGAAAAAAGAAAATTACAGCGCCGTGTTCAGCTGTTTGCTTTAATGTTTACAGACCCTTTTGATCTGACCTAATTTCCCTCTTGGATCAATAAAGTATTTTTGAATTGAATTGATATGTGATTTAAAAGACTAATTAGAATCTACAGGTGCTGGTCATAAAATTAGAATATCATGAAAAAGTAGATTTATTTCAGTAATTCCATTTAAAAAGTGAAACTTGTATATTATATTCATACATTACATACAAACTCATATATT